TATTACTGTTTGTGGAGTGACTCTGGTTGAACCCTTATATAGAAGCTTAAATTTGGGGAAAATACTCCAAAATGTGTATCAGACGCATCACACTGGTCCTGACAGTCAGAGTCTTGATGGCTCAAGAGGGAAACGAGGTTGGATACAAACGAGCTGCTTGTAAACCACTATTTATTTTTAAATAATGGTGAAAGTGCAGTTTGTGGTTTTACAAATTACATTTCTGATTCATCAAAGGGAGGCTTAATGCTGATTTGTTGTATCTTTTTTAGTAAATATATCTTAAAGAATGAATCCCTGACATCGCCAAGCAGCTAATATTTGTAAGATGGGCTGGAGGAAAACATTTAAACAATATATTATGAAACTATCAAAGGCTTAACAGCATGTACATTGTTGGGGATATTGCATTTGTTTTGATCCACCATTACTCTCAGCATAAGTGCATCCAAACTCAGTTTGCCCATTTGATAATAAATAATAGAAACAGAAAACTGTCTACCACAGGCTTAAGTATATAAAGTAGTTATATAGGTCTTTCATTTCCTATGATGTGCTTTAGGCAGAAAGAGCAATTACTTGAAAAAAATGTAAAAATAAAAAATTGCAGAGGGGCTTTGCAATCTAAAGGCAAGCACATGTTGTAGTTTCATGTGTGAAAGGATTCCTGCATGAGACCGTGTATGCGTGCGTGCATGTGTGTGTTTCTGAGTTGACTAGTCTAAAAGAATTGAATCACTTAGGCCTGGAAAAAATTACTTCTCTATTATTATGAGTCTGTTAATAAAACCAGTTTGGCTACGTTTGAACTCCTTCCTCACTCACAGAGAGGAAATCATACAGATAACATGTAAGACAGTAACAAGGAGGTACTCATGTGATATAAGCTGGACTCGCCTTTGTAATTTTTTTTGTACTTAAGCTCAAAGCAATCAGATATGGGGAGGTAGGTAAACATGTGATTAATGTGCGTGGCATACTCTTGCAAAAATTGCTTTCTCACACTGTTTTTATGAAGAGCAAATGACCCAGAAGAACCCTAAGGTGCAGCTTTTAACATAGCGGGTTAAATTATGACAACTGCCAAAACAAAATATCCCAGAATGCATCTTTATGATTCAGTGGAAAACTGTTTTTAGAAAGTTCGACAGCATTATCAATGAGCAAAGATAGTGCTGCCTGCTCAGGGTGTCTCTTCTCTTCACTTTGACCCCCATGTCGCTCTTCCACCTCGTTGGTCATATTGTCAACCATTTCGTAGTGCACTTGGTGTCCTTGAGTTTTGTTTGGTAGTGAGGAGAAATTCCCAAAGGACTTCTGTTCTTCTGCCCCTGAGACCAGTGTCCCAGGTGTGGTTGCTAAATATTTTACTGTGTGTTGACTAGTTACAGGTGATGCTGGTGTTACTACCAGAAATTACTGAGCTCATTCCCGTTAAGCTTAGTGAAAATTTCTACTGACGCCAAACACATAAGGCGCAACTTTGGCAAACTTCTACAATGTTGCCATCTCTTAACTGGGAACTAAAATATATATATATGTTTATACATAACCATATATTGTCTAAAGTATATACACACATACACATACACGTACACATTTTAAGAAATAAATGTTTTTTGGCCATCTGGGGCAGCAAAACAAGAAAAATTGTTCAACCGATGTGTTTTTTAGCACAACATGTGACAAATGCCCACTATCCTCCCTGTCCACATATTTGGTTTGAGAGAAACATGGATCATAAGCAGCTAAATGTTTGTTTTGTTTTTGTTTTTTTACCAGAGTAAAATACAACCAACAGAATGAAATACGCACAAAAGATCCTTAGCTTAACTGAGTTAAGTAGCTTGTCATGCTTTCTTGTCCTTTGTCATCTGCTATATAATCATTCTTTCTAACCATGCTGATTCTGATTTCGATACAAAATGATGTAATAGCTCATCTGGCTAATGAACCATCACAGTTCCCAGGTTACTGTAAAAAAGGAAGTAGTGAAAGAAATTCTTTTCACATTTTTTTTCTGTATTGCAAAAGCTAACGAAAATTAAAATCCATTTAAAAAAGACAAACGTAACCCTGACCGTTAGCACAGTTGGGCTGAAGACTCATTAGCCAATCATTGCGTGTAACCTTCGTTCAGTTCTGATAAATACTGTAGGAGAAGTTGTGAACTGTGACTGAATGAATGAGCCTATCAGTCTTTTGACAAGATGAGCTAGAAAAAAAGGAGCACAGCTTCCATGGCTTCTGTTTGGTTCTCCACCAAAGCTGTAAAGTCAATGCAGAAATACCCTAAACCTTCATTCTTCAAAGTAGCCATCAAAGCTCCTTTGGTTACAAAAGCAAGTCCAATTGTATAGAAGTGCAAGTAAAAATGACACTAATTCTCATTCAACCTTTAACACTTTGCTAATGAGTTTATGTTCCAAGTCGCTGGTTTTAAGTTGGAGTCATTACAACATGATGTTTTTAACAATGGTCAAAAACGTTGGTTTTAGGGTGGGCCGACCTTGTGATTTACAAACCGCTTATTAACTTGTCAACATGACACGAAAGGTTTTGAAACACCAAGATGACAATAGCCAGAAAGTCTCAGACTAACCAGTCTGTGATGTCATGTTCCTTATGTCCATCTTTTATATACAGTCTATGGGAAAACTGTATGCTTTTACTGAGAGTTTGATGGCACAATGGCTCCAAGCTGCAGGTTCGCCCAACCCACACAGTTATTCCCTTCGTTTAGGTGAATGCGATGCAGCTGGTGTGGGTGTTGTGGGAGAGAAAGGCAGAGCGTCACGGTGATGACTGTGGTCTTGTCAGTAATTCAGGAGATCAGATGACACTTCAATAGAAAAGCCAGAGTGTGGGGTGGAATTTGAAAATTGAGTTGACAACACCAACCATAAAGGCGTTATGGTCTCTGGTATTGGTCTCTAAATGGCTGTTGATTCTGTTGTTGAACAATGTGCTCGAGAAAGATTGCTGCATGAAACTGCAATATTACCTCTTGCACTTAAAACTTTTTGGCTTTAATGTTTTGTATGTGTGTGTGCATGTGTGTGTAATTGAATAACAGAAGTCTCAGCAGATGTGAATATAGTCTAAATGTTTCTCTTCAGCTCGGCCTCTGTAGCTTGATAAATGCTCATATTAGGTTTTCCGTAAGTCCTCAAAAAATAAGTCAGAAAATGGCATTTTTATTCTTTAAGACCATCAAAGAGCAAAATTGCATGCAGCTTACAAACCCGCCGTGATGCAATATTTTTAGGAGTTGTGAATGAGCTGGATTTAAACAAAAGCAGCTGTGGTTTAATGTTAACATTGTACTGTCCTGTCACTATTTCTGTTTAAAGCGTTATTTTTCACCCTCACAGTTCCGTCTGATTTAAAATGGTTTAGAGAAACAGTCTGCAAATCCCTCTTGAGCGGATTATAGTTGAGGTTGGAAAACTTGGGGCAGTTTCACGCGCTTGCTAAATTGCATAGAGATCAGTGAGTCAGAAGTATATAATACTTTAAAAAGGGTTGGGGTTTTTTTCTTCTTTAAAGCATGGCTGTAACTTTGTTGCCTCACTTTACTGAATTTTTTAGGTTCTAAAACATATCGTCTCCTTATAATAAGCATTTGCAATGAATAGCAAACATATATTTTTTAGGTATACTTATATATATATTTGTATTGTTTGTAGATAGATATGCTTAAAATCCCAGATCTGGAATAACAGAGCTGTGAGAATGTACTGTGAGGTGTGATTTTCTAAAGAAATTGCGTCAGCATCTGAAGAATGCCTTTGTGTTTCCAAACCTGGCTCTTTAACACACATTTCAGAGGAGGGCTGTCAGCTTATGGCATATTAGCTGGATGGGTTCGTTTCCCATGGGACATGAGAGGCTAGCTTGGAGGGATCCCAGGGTAGAAATGGAAGACACACTATGTGAATAGCTTTACTCTGTCATTCCAATTCGGCACAATAAAAATCAAAAGCAGCTTGGCCACAGACCGTGGCTTCACCTGGAGCTTTCTACAGTACAGTACCAGCCTCACACAATGAAAAAAATACTGCTGTCAAGACTCATTTTATACTTTATAAAAGGAGCTATAATTGAAAAACAATCACTTCCTGCATGACAATTCCTCATAACTCACACACTGCATTTATGGCAATCCAGAGCACAGTGGTGTTTGCAGATATATGCTATCTCAAACAGCACATTATAATTCTGATGGCTTGTGTATTGAAATCACTTCATGTGCATAATGTAACCAATTTAATATTGCTTAAGTCTAAATAAATGCCCTTCATAGTATGTGCTAATGTGTAGTAAAAGTGCGACATGTCCTTTTGTTGTTTTTCTGGAAGCCGTACTTTTTAGCAGCTGCTGTTTTCTACATTGCTGACTGACTTCAGTAAAACAACCTCCGCCACGCTAGTTGCCCTTATGGACCCAGAAAAACATGAAATCAATACTGTATGCATTTCAAGCAGGAAAATTCTTTTATTGAGTATACTGCTTTATAATGGTTTCCATTATTGACATCTATGAGTTATGAAATAAAACCTAATGCAATGAGGATGAGGAAAATAGCATTTGAGGCTTTTTATTGGATCAATTTAAAGTCAGCACACTGCATTCTGATGACAATAAAATGCTAATCCTGACCAGTATTTACAACATCAAAAAGTGCTGTGTTTTCAAAAAAATGCTAAAACAAGAGAATTTGAGCCATAATGAAAGAGTCTGCAGGTGTGTCTGTCTCGATTTTTCTGGAAGGAATTTTGACTGAATTTGCGAGATGATGTGGCCGGCCGATTTTTACCAAACAGAGATCAATGTAGGACGTTTCACAAAATGGTTTTGGGGTAGAGGACATGATCATATAATCATATTACTTCTTGGACACAACCAAACCAACATCTTGTAACTTTTAACACAGTTTTCATATATGCTCTTTTTTTTGTATCTATTAATGTTTATATATATTCATATTTTTATTTCAGATTTTGGCCCTGATTGGCATTCTGTGACCAAACCTCAAAATCATATTGTGAGTATTACTGTTCGTTTATAATTAAACATAATAATTATGTATTTTTACACACATGCATTCAATTATTTTATTTATTTATTTATTTACTAAGCAATAATCCCAGAATTAGAAAAAAAATGTGTGCTATTGATGCAGTCATCTGAATCTGGCTGATCTCAGATGACCCTTCCTCTTTACTCCACCACAGCCACTCCCACCCCCCTTCCCCCCTTCTCCCCTTTCTTATCCATTACATGGGAGCTGAATGATGGTGATTTGGTTGAGGCCCAGTGAGTGCCTGTAGAAAATTGGTTGGTTGATAAAAACCCTCCTATCAAAGGGGGCTACTTTCTCATTTACATTTAGATGAGTATTGATTATTTATTTACTCAGTGGAGTGGGATTCTTTTCCAATCTTATCTCTCGTCTGTGCCTGTCACCTGGAAAAAAAAGAGATAGAGTTCTTGACACCGCGCTAAGATAACGGCATTTTGTAGAAGCAGATAAAACTTGGAATGGTGGTCTCTGCTTCTTACGTTCCTCCTTTTCCTCCTACCCGATTTTGACGGAAAAGGGAAAGTTTGGAAAATTAAAACTGATAGCCCTTGTTCAAAACATTGGGGGGCAGGCAGTGAAGGAATCTCTATTTGCAGGGGGAATAAGTCAAATTGGCTGTACAGATATGGTCAGGCTGCTTCCACGGGGAGAAATCTTATTCGAGTTGTCTTAGTAGTTTAGTATTTCTATCACACATAATATAATGTTGTTTCATAATTGTAACAGTAAACAATACTGTACATTTTATCCAACAGTGTGTTTAATAAGAATCTATTGCACAGTGCGGGAGTTACATGTGATCCCAGCGTTTGCAGGCTGTGTGGAAATGAAGCCCCTGGACGTGTCTGTCATGTTCTAAGTGCTAAACTCTGGTGATGTTTGGGTGGTTGAGCTGGGGATTGGTCATGCATTGCCAATGAGTCTGGAGGCTTGTGGCAGGGTGAGGAGCTTTGTGAGACTGACTAAAGGTGTTTAGGGTGGGAGGTGCAGCATGTGGGTGCTCTGTAGGAATTGGGAACCCCTGACAGACCCTGCCTCTTCTTCTCAGCTCTTTGATGGAGAGTGAAGAGTCTCTTGAGGTGGCCTCTGTCAGCTCTACTCCTCCTCAAAGCAGACACGCGGCTTCGGCACAACACTACCGCGCCTTTCTCACCCTTCACCCCCCGGGCCACTCCCAACCTCTCATGGTCACTTTTCATCTCCTCCGTCTCTGCACAGAGGATCTTGCCACATGTAAATGGACTTGTAAGCACTCTATTTTGAGACCACCTAATAGGAAGCTTGCATATTTGTTGACCCCAGAGTATATCAAGGTTGGCAGTAGGTTGGCACAGTAAGCAAAGCTACACTGCCAATGACTCTTCACTGCTGCCTCACTGAAGGTGACTTATTATGCTGCTCAAGGATTATACCCCATTTTTCTTTGTTAGCCAGTCAGTCATTAGCCTAGTTACACATCTGGATCCCCACAGCAATTTAAGAATATGGAAGGTTCCTCTAAAAAAAAAACTAATTAGTCCAACTGGAAAGGAACATCTTGTTTTCCTGCACCCCTAATGGATTGGACCAAGGTCTTTTGAAATGCAAACCCATCAAGGAGATGCCTGAAAACAGCCCCTAACCCTGCCCTGACTGTCTCACGATGAACATACTGCTAACATGCTACTAGGAGTGAATGCAGCCACTTTATAAGAAAATACATTACAAGTAATAGTAATACTAGTTACATTATACAGAATTTTTACAGTGTTGTTGCGCAGTCACTTGAAATACAACAATAACCCTTCAGTTGATTCTTCTAAATTAAAAACATTCATGTATAAAGCAATAAACAGTTGTGGTAGCAGACAACTTTAATAGTAATAGTAATATTAGTAGTAGCAGTAAAATTGTTGCGACAAGCACAATATAATAACTGTAATAATAATGTTACTATAATACACCAAATCTCAGTGTGTCTGTCCATTTGTCAAATTAAGTCCAGCAGCTACCCACAAATATCTTATACCCCTGAAGGTTCTTATCTATATCAGAGATTTTGACATCATTATGTTGCCTAGCAACATCTTACAACCTAAATTGCTAAATTTTTAGCATTTATGTGCTTATAACCCCTTTAAAAGCACTGCATTGTTTTAATTTCACTGACGTAATTAAGCCATTATCTAATTAAGAACATGTTATGTAACAAATTATATGTTATTATCTCCTTACCTGACAACCACCTAATGGCAAAATGAAATTTATATAGTAGAGTAGGGCTGAGCATTGCAGAGGACCCACAAAATGAAGTAAATTGTGTGTGTGTGTGATATATATATATATATATTATATATATATATATATATATATATATATATATATATATATATACTTCTGTAATGATAATATAAAATAAACTATATAGTTATATTATATATATATATTAGGGGTGCAACGATACACAAAATTCACGGTTCGGTTCGTGATACTTTGGTGTCACGGTTCGATATTTTTTCGATACAAAAAATGTTCATGCCTTTTTAATTTGTCATTTATTAAAATTATAAATATATATTTTAACTCAAAAGTACAGTTTTTAAATTTAACCCTAACCCTTGTGCGTGTTTTTTATTTTGACAGCGAATGCGCACCTGCAGACCACTTATGTGCAGCCCTGGTTATTTAGCTCATCATATATTTGCAGCCACAGAAATTCTTTTGTCCATGAAACCATAAAGCTGCACTTTCTTTTTGCCTTATAGTCTGATTTGTCATAACTTTTCCGTTTTGTGGTAAGCTTTTCTTTGGCTGTCACTTCTTCACCCTGACCTGTCTTATTTGGCTCAGCAGAACTGAAATGCTTTTACACACTCACTCACATAAGCTCAGCGATTCTCTGCGCGATCAACCTCTCACATGTTTAAGCTTGCTGCGGGAGATTTCACTTGTCATGTTTGCATAGTAAGCTAACGATTAATAAGACGATGTCAGAGGAATTGGTGCACAAATTATCATCACTCACAGATCAGTGCTGTCGCTCTCTATACACAGTTCGCACGAAAGCAAAAAAACAAGCGCAAATTCAAACGCGATTTCAATATGTCACATATTGACAGTGGCTCACCGATGCCAATGACATAATTACCCAGCTACATTTCTGAAAGAATGCAAAAGCATTGACATATATTTTTCCTACAATAGCCCGACGGGCAGGGAAGAGATAGATTTTGGTAGCCCGACTGAAAAAATCGCTAGCTCCGGGACGTCGGGCTAGCGATATTGCAAGCCCTGTATCTGATTGAGGAATCACTCATCTTTGGAAAAGAGAGTTTATTACAGAGAAATGTCTCTTTCCAAAATAAAAGCTATACTATCCGCTTCTTCTGGGCTATATTCTCAGCAGCATAAGGAGAATCATGTGCTAACAGCTGTCTAAATGACTCGGCTAAAGTTAGTAGCATGCTTGTTGTTTTTGTCATTGCACTAGGATGATGTCGGCGTAAATGTGCAGTCATATTTGTTGTGTTCCCACTAGTGCTTTCAGGTTAATCTCGTTGAAATGACCTTAACGCCACAACACGGCAAATCTCCGTTAACGAGCTACCGCCGATCGCTCCGTGCATGGGGCTAGACGGCCAACACGTTAACGAGCTAACTGCGCTAACACACTAGTTCACACCAATGTAATTAAGCATTGCGTGGCACATCCAACATACTGTTTTACTTTAGTCCATGACTCGCTTACCTTCAGGGTCATACGTCACATGAAAACCAAAATAATTCCAAACGCCAGATCTGAATGAGGTTCAATTTGCTTGTTGCAAGCAGAGCTTAACTTCTGTCTCGCTAGCTTGCCCTGCGCTCTTCCTTCTGACTATGCTGTCTGTGTTGAGCGCTCAGTGGATCTGCGCTCGACAGTGCAGCCTAGGCGGAGTAGTCGAACACAGATTCACTGAGCGCTCAACACAGACAGCATCGTCAGAAGGAAAATTGATAAAATAAATTACAAATGTTGTATTGTTCGATACATATGCGTACCGAACCGAAAGCACTGTATCGAACGGTTCAATATCGATACGAATATCGTTGCACCCCTAATATATATATATATATATATATATATATATATATATATAAATAAAAAAATACATTTATTCACCCGGATTTATTCCTTGTTTGTTTTTGTTTTGTTTGTTGTCCTTTTTTCAGTGGGATTAAGAATATCAGTTTGTCAACAGCATGGACAGACTGTTGGACAAACAGACTGTATGGGCATGTACTACTAATTATAATAACAGAGTGTATAGAAGGCACAGTCAAAAGAGTGGTTAGTTTGTGAGGCAACTACATTGAGAGCTTATTCTTTCACTCAGTCCTTAAAAAGGATAAAATAGAGGATCTTTATAGAGATCACTCCACTTAAAACTGCCGGAAAGGTAAAAAAAAAAGGATTCATTATTATATTATTATTTACATCCTGTAAGAATAAAGCAAGGTGTTTAAACTTGTTTGCCCCCAATTTTTATTTACTTTTTTCTTTTAGTAAGTAAAGAAAAAAGTCACTGCAAATACTTTTGGATAATAATCCAGTTTCTAATGGATGAAAGTCTGCGTATATATCTAGTGTTGCAACACTGAAAAAGAAGGAAGACAAAGATGCTTTATAATGTTAACTTATTAAACCTTTTTTGCTTCTTGATATTGCACATATAGGTTATACTATCACATAAATGAGACATTGTAGAGCATTGTTGTGGTTTGCATAAAGTCCACAGCTGGCTGTAGTAATGTTGCTGTCTAACAAATCGGGAGGATATTGATGTATAAACCTTGAAACTACTCCTTTTTACATGCACTGCCCACAGGAGAAGCAGCATCAGAAGTGAGTAACATGAACATACATATAACATCCTGATTATCACGGTAAAGCGTCTTCTCATCATTTTATTTTATTTTGTGTATAAATGCAGCTATAAATCAGTCACAAC